GTCGTCCTCTTTCATTGTCGGCCATGTTACTAGGTGGTCATGATAAAGAATATGTTCATCGTGATACACCGATGAATAATCCTGATGTTAAGTTTGATTTTACTCCAGAAAATTATAAACGTGTTGAGGCGATTAAAGCCATATATCCAGAAGGACATCAAGCAGCCGCTGTCATACCATTACTCGATTTAGCTCAACGACAACATGGTTGGTTACCGTTGACAGCTATGCACAAAGTAGCTGAAGTATTAAATATGCCAAAAATGAGAGTCTATGAAGTATGTGTCGAAAATAAAATTCCTTGTCTGAAATTTTTCGAAGGTGGAAACAGCTGAGTTTGGGATTTTTCCGGGTTTCTGTGATTTGTTTGGGAAATCAAGTAAAGAGGCTGCGATAAATAGTGCAGAGCCTGCTTTGTACAAAATAGGAATCAGACATAATGAAATCAAAGAAAAAAAAGATAAAATCATAAGGGGTTTTCGATTTTAACCGTTTTTTTAAGCTCAAAAATCAGCTGTTTGGATTTTTCTCTTTTTAAAGTTTTCTAAATTTTAGAATTGAAACTAGAGTGATCACGCGAATCATTCAACGAGATTTGACATCCATTCTATATCGTTGCCGTTATAACGATATTTTGTTGTCGTCTATCTGCCATAACAAAATAATAAAGAATGTTAAATTAATTTTCGTATTCATTTGTTGTAGGTTGCTACATTTTATACAATGTTTAATCGTGATCCAATAGGTAAATATCATATTCAAGTGTGTACAACAACACCCTGTTGGCTATGTAACAGTGATGGTATTTTGAAATGTATTGAACGAAAATTAGGTATTCATGTAGGACAAACAACTAAAGATGGTCTATTTACGTTATCAGAAGCAGAATGTTTGGGAGCATGTGTCAATGCTCCAATGCTATCTATCAATGATGATTACTATGAAGATTTAACTGAACAAGATATGGAACAAATTTTAGATGAAATCAAACAAGGCAAAAAGCCAAAAGCAGGACCAAGAAATGGTCGAAGATATGCAGCTGAACCATTCGACAAACTTTCATCGTTAACAGAAGAACCGAAAGGACCGGGATTTGGTATAAGATCCGATTTATAATTAACTATCAAGCCTTTTTCTCATCTAATGTATACTTTTTGTTTTTCAATTCAAAAATAGTTTAGTGCAGTGATAATCAACAACCATCTAGTTTTATCTGAAAATAGAACATATGGAAGAATTGACGTAAAAAGTAGATTGAATATATTTTATTTGCTATAGAAATTTTCTGTATCAACTGAACAAGAAACGATTGAGATGAAAATTTTTATGTTTTTAAATGATTTCTCCTTATTACTATTCTCTGTAGAAAAAATATTGACCGCAAACATTTTGCAATAATCTCGTAAGCAAAGCAAAAAGTTCAAATGACATTTGCTTAACCACTGATCAATATGCATAGCTTATTATGTTCGATAGATTCTGATAAATTGACAAGTAATAATTTGAGTTTTGCTATCATAAATCATGGGAGAATAAACATGATTTATGAAGACTAAATATCTACGAAAGTTATAGAATAAAAAGATTTTTCATATCAATAACCGTTTTTAATATTGAAGAAAAGATTATCTTTTAACATGCTATATCAAAGAAATGTATCTGTACTAGTGCCTAAGACATCTTAAATGCAAACGTGGCTACCGTCAATCTCAGAGTATAGCCAAAGTATGAGGTTATGAAATAGATATGGTTTTATGATAATTCAATATAAAGATTCAAGTCAAGCAATACTTCAGAACGTTGGTATAATCAAGATGGTTATGAAATCGGTACAGATTCCAAGTGCAACCATCGTTTATAAAGGTAAGCTATTATTATTTTGAAATTTTACTTATTTCTTGTTTTTATAAATAACAACAATATGTTAGATCTATTTAAATCGCTTAGCTTTGCATGTAAAATCGAGTTTACAAATTATACACAATCTGATTGGTTTTTCAATTTAATATCACTTATATTTTTATAGAGAAAGTTGACATAAATCACGAGATCTCATTGCTGATAGTATTGAAGCTAAGACTAGTACACAGTATTTGAATGTCAAAGTCACATTGCGTGACAGCAACAAAATTATGTATGACTATTTGATTGCTGATGATATATAAAGATACTATACGATTAAATCATTCCAAACGAGTTGTCGATTGGATGTAATTTTTGTGCTTATGTTCAATATTTTCAAAAAGTGAAATTAGGGATATTGTTAGACATATCTGTCTAAAAGAAGGATATGAGAAATGTATACGGTAAACAACAAGAGCCTGTGCAATCGAAGCTACAGATATCATTTACGTCAGAGTTAGAACAGTTTGACGAATCAGAGCGGCGAGGTGCTGGTATAAAACTACCAGAATCGGAAGGAAAAATTTAATCGAAAATGTTTAGTTATTCAAGTGATATGATATGTGCGAATAGTAATGATCTTCTACGACATTTTGTCTATCAACAGTGTCTCCAAATAACAGATGATAATCTGAGAAGTTAAGGTTCTTTTCTCATGTCTTTAATTACACAAACAATAATGAAAACTGCAAAAGAATTTTCTAAATGGTTATTTCATAAAAAAATACCCGATTGAAAACTTAAGCAGGTCTGACACCGGACGACGATCCGGTTCCAATTCTGGTCTACACAAGCCACAAATTTGATGAAAATTGAAGAATGTAAATAAGCAACACCAGTAACAAGAAATATGCTAGAAAATAGTAATAGAGTAGGAGATAGGATGACCAATAAGCATTTGAAAATACATTGACAATTGTAAGACCAGAGAGTACTGTTTCATGTTTATTCTGATGATTATTTTGTTTAAGATAATGGTCTTGGCTGCTCCAACAAACTCGTGTCAACAATTTCCGTTGGCATTAATAGCAATGGTTTATGCAGCAGATATAGAAACTCACATAGAATTGTTTTAATGAATAACTAATAAACATTAAATGCATTGCTAACCTTAACCATTTAGAAAGTATTTGATTCATTCTCTTGAAGAAAATTTCTTAAATTATCATGGCTTATAGGTTTTATGTCCTGCAAGTGCAGCAGTATCAATCCGTGCCAAATCAACACGGGTAAAAAACGTTCTTTTATAGCGAAATAATTTATGATTATCAGTGCTGTGACGAAATTAATGGAGAGAGAAAGCATCCTTTGAAAGAAAAGTGTTTGTTTACAATAGCAGAGAAATGGTAGAAGAGCTAAAAAATGAACAAATAAAGAGGGAGAAACTGTCATCGCCGCAGGTCATATATAACACAATTAATACGACATAAATAGCCTGTTAACCGTGAGGCTAAAAATAGGTCTTTAATATGCCTTAAATGTGAAAAAATAACCAGTTAACAAACATCTTTCTGCCCCATTGTTGAATTATTGATAATGTTCTGTGCAACAGGCAATCATCAACTACACGTGATTAACGCTCAAATTCATGAAATTGTCTAATGTCTGTTATCCGTTTTTTGACTATTATCGAAAAAAGAAGAAAAATAGACAATTTATATTGACCTTTTTTTGACACGTAGTCAACAAGTCATCTAGTCTTCTATTTTACCCTTGGCTGTTCTTTATAAAAGTTGGTTGAGTGCACCCTCAGCCTAGCGATGCAAATAATGACAACAACAATAATACTGCTGAATCAGAAAGTGAAGATCTAATGCACGAAACTGGTAAAAAATGGTTTCTTCTGTTGTAAGGGTGTACCTACTTTCGTAATACATTTGCTTACTCCTTTTTAACACCATAACTTCGTTTTAGACTGATTTTTAAACTATAACCAGCGATAGTATTTGTTACCTTAAAATCATTGATTATTAGACATCTAGAGTTATATCAGAAATATCAGAATTAACCAGAACAGTAATGTCCGTCATGGGTGAGATGTGTGAATTCCGAATGATCAATTTAATAGTGATTTTATAAATTTAATATAGATCATAACTATAGAGGTTGTGTCTTGTGCTGATATTTTCCTGGCAGAAATAGATGATTAAATAACAATTTCTTAAATTGCGGATAATAAAACAACTTTTTTTCTTCACTCTCTCTGAGAACAAGTGATGATTTATATACTCGTTCCATCCTCTCGATATTGTATCCTGTATCTCTCTCTATCACACGTGTCTCTACTCTATAACATCTGCTCTTCCTTCCGACTCATCACAGAGTATACAGACTTTGGTTGTACGGTGTTGGATGACCGCATCTGAAGCCCAAGATTATAAGCTGTATGGGTTGAGCAGTACAGGTAGAACACACTATAGCAGTGCACAGGATAAGAAATTAAACGTCTCAAGTTTACTTGTTGGCTAACTTAGTCCAAAAGTAACATTGATGCTTTAAAATTTATAGTTTTAGTCTTTAATTCCAATAACTGTGTGATATTGTTTTGTGCCTTGCTTTTCTTCTATTATATTCTAGTATCTCTCTCTAAAAAATGTTTATAGCATGTGAAAGTTAACGCCAATCTGACACTTGTACATTTCGTTTCGACATCACGGTTTTTTTCTGCTTATTATATTGTATCCTGACTTCACTCATACTGTAAGCTTATAAATGTTTCGTTTTCGTCTATATTTGATAGAATTGAATAAACCATAACTTTTAAGCGTTTCGTCACGTAACTAGGATACTAACTTGATACTGACAGTATAAATAGTATAACACATCTATTCACATAAAGATTATACTAATAGAATAATGGATATTTCAAAAGAATTTATATGAGTTAATGATTGACACTTTCGACTCCAGCATCGTTCAATAGCGTTATGCTTTCAACAGAGCTGAATGCTTATGTAGTAGGTCAAGATATTGTATACGACTAAAGTCGACATATCTCGACCTATGTATTTTTATAAATAAAAAGTAGAGTAATCCAGCAATTATATTTATGCTTGTTGACAGTATTTTCATAAAAAGCGGCTTTTTTGAACGTTTTATGACATTCTCTTTTCTCCGTATAAATGAGATTCTTTAGCATTTATATGCGATTTTCTGTTTTAAAATAATAACAATGAGTTGATCACACATTTATTTTTCTGTCTATATGTCACTGATCATTGCTGTTGAAGATGTATTGAACAAAAAAATACCCGCATTAATCTATTTGCAGCCGTGATTGTGATCTTATATTTGGAATTTGTAAAGTTAAAGTATAGTAGTTTTTCTAAACAGATTTTGAAATGATATACAAAAATCTCTTCTGCTTTCTTTTGTTATCGATCATTTTGTTTTTATTTGTTCTAAGTTCTATGAACAGATATTTCATCGAATCTAATACCTTTTAGTTTTCTTGGTACCTATTGCACTATGGACGTTCACTCAATGAAAATTGTAATTTTTAAAGGAAGCTAGATTTTCTCACTTTTCGTGAATAAAATATTCTTAGTCTTGCTTGCTTGCTCTATCGAACTACTTCAGAAATAAATTTAAATTCTAAATATTATTATCAAATGTAATAGAACATTGATTTTTTTTTCTTTTAGATTTAATAACTAATTAAAAATGTCATCGTTAACTCATTCTCAGTTAGAATTATCATCGATGATCGATCATACACTACTAAAACAAGATTCAACAGATGAACAAATTATTACATTGTGTTCTCAAGCTGTTCAATATCAATTTGCCAGTGTTTGTATTCAACCAACGTATGTTGAATTGGCTCATAAACATTTAAAACAACAACAACAACAACAGATATCAAAAGTAAAAGTGTGTACAGTAATTGGTTTTCCATTAGGTTCGAATACAACACAGACAAAATTATTTGAATGCCAACAGGCGATAGAACAAGGAGCAGAAGAAATTGATATGGTAATTAACATTGGAAAAGTAAAATCAAAACAGTGGGATTATGTAGAACAAGAAATTAAACAATTGAAAGATAAATGTAAAAATTTAGTATTAAAAGTAATCATAGGTAAGTGAAGAACAAAAAATTATACAAGTAAACTTTAACCATTTGTTAATAAAAATGTTTGTTATTGAGAGTGTTGTTGAGTTCTACACTGAGCTAATATTTTCTTTTTTGTAATTTGTTGTCATGTTATTCTAGAAACTTGTTTGTTGACACGTGAAGAAAAAATTCAACTATGTCAAATTGTAACACGATGTAAAGCCGATTATATTAAAACATCAACTGGATTTTCAACTGGTGGTGCAACTTTAGAAGATATTAAATTGATGAGAGAAAATTGTGGTGAAAATGTAAAAATAAAAGCATCGGGTGGAATTCGTGATATTAAATTTGCAAAAGAATTAATCAAAGAAGGAGCAACAAGACTAGGTACAAGTTCAGGAACAAAATTAGTCGATGATTTATTAAATGATCAGGAAACAACAACAACGAAAACAACAACTGATCAAGGAAATTATTAAATTAGTCCAGCTTGTTGATTTTTCTTAAATTCTTTTACTATTTCTATAAGTGATTGATTGTGTTGCCTTAGTACTTTCTTTATTTAGATTTTTCTATTAAAACTGAAACGGTAGCTTAGACTTATATATTGTATGCCTTCTTTGAACAGTTAACTTTTATTTTGCAGTTATGGATTTCAGTTAATTAGAGTAGTTTTGTATTTAATGCATTAAATAGTAGACATAATTAGTTAGGGTACCCTTTCTTCTCATCATATTTTAAGCATTCCAAAAATGTGTTGTTGTTTTTTACTTTTATCTTTACTATTTTATAAAGTGTTTTTTCTTGCATTTCAGATGAACTTTTTTCATCAGTCCAAATCAAAAAATTCTTTGTTTATTTTTTTTCGAAATGATACTGCTTTCTTTTGGTGCAATTTAGTAATTTATTTTTAAAGGTGTTTATCGTTTAACAATCAAATATTTAAGGGTCAACGCAATAGATGAGAAATGATCAATCTCTTATTTTATTTTTTTGATGATTTTTTTTGTTTGTAATTTAAAAATAAAATTGAAATGTTATAGTACGTTTTTGTTGTCGATTTTTATATTGTCTATTTATTCATCGTTCACAAATTTGAATTTACGAACTCTTTTTTTCGTTTTTGTTTCAGATTTTTATCATTTCTTTTTATTTGTTATAAACAATTTAATGGACAGAACCATGTCTGAATCGAGCTGTAAGTATATTGATTTACTATCAATGGAAAGAGATGAAAATTTGTAAACGTACATAGGACACACTTCTATCTCAAAATTATTCAAAAATTGCGATACATTCTATTGATAATCTTATCTATTGTTATTCTAATTTTTAGCTTTTAGTTATTCGGACAATGGTTATATTCCATCTCCAGCCATTTCTAATCAAAATGGTAGTTCTGGTACGCCAAATACAATTCAAAGTATGGGACAAAATTCAAATTATTCAAGTTCAGGTGGTGATTCACCATCTTCGATTAGTCCTAGTAAGTTCTATTTTTTAACAGTTTAATTATGGACATAATTACTTTTTAAATTTTCTTGCATAGGTCCGGCAATGTCAGCTACCAATATGCCTACACAATTTTCAGGTGGTTTATTATCATCCGGTGCTATATCAAATGAAGTTAATTCAACAACAAATGTAGGAAGTAATAGCCAAATGAATACCAATATTGGCTCATCTAAATATTGCTGTGCCATTTGTGGAGACAAAGCATCAGGAAAACATTATGGAGTACACAGGTGAGGATATATAACTCGCACTTCAAAAATGATTAGTTGATTTTATTGATGTTCTACTTTTCAAAATGTAAGCAATGAGATAGTAGATGGCATTGATACAAAAAGACTCTCATCTTTTACATTTTGTTTTATATTTTCTTTCTTTGTTTTAGCTGTGAGGGTTGCAAAGGTTTTTTCAAACGAACTGTTCGTAAAGATTTAACTTATACATGCCGTGATAATCGCGAATGTATTATTGATAAAAGGCAACGAAATCGTTGTCAATATTGCCGATATCAAAAGTGTTTATTGGTTGGAATGAAAAAAGAAGGTAAGCACAGTTTTAAATAGAAAAAGCAATTTTTTATCAGATTTTCTAAGTAATTTTCCACAATTACTTAGTGTTTTGCTGATATGGTTTTTGTGTGCAATTCGTTGACTGTGTTCATTATATAATCAGAAGGAAAATTTTGATACATTAAAATTTCGTATAGTTTTGTTGTTTTATAGTGGATCACAAAAAGTTGCACTATAATTGATGTTAAAAATAATATTAGAATTACAACATAAAATCTTCTTATTCATTGTTTTAGCGCGTCTCTAGCACTATGAGTTTATTTTACTGTTTTGGATCGTTGTAACTTTAGATTTAATTTTAATATTAAATCAAGGTTTGCTTTAATTGATCTTGTGAGTAATAAAGTTTAAATTGGCTGCAGGCAAGACAAAATATAAATATCAAATTTCATGCTTTAGAAATAAGAGCAATTTATTGATGATGTCATTGTACAGAAAAGAAAAAAACGACTCATTTTTTTTTTTGCTTTGTTCGTATATTTTATTTTTATTGGTTTAACCCAAAGAAAGAAAATAGGGCAAATTTTATAATAGCTTTTTTATTTTGCGGTAGTATCTGTCTTTTTGTTAAAGTTGACTAACCACTTTGACTATTGATTGTTTAATTATGTTTAGCTGTTCAAGAAGAGCGTCAAAAGAATGCAGCAGGCGAGGGTGAAACATTGTCACCAGGTGAAGATGAAATGCAATTAGAAAAACTAATACAAGCGGAAATGAGTGTTGAGCCGAAATTAGAATCATTACATGAAGAAGTATGTAAATTAAATTAATATTTAAGAAATAAGAGCAATAATTTGTTGTTTTGGATATAGGAATGTACTTATGCTCGTTTATTGGCTACCACTCAACAACAAGTATCACAATTATCGGATTGGGCTAAACGTGTACCCCACTTTTCATCACTCTCATTAGATGATCAAGTCGCTTTAGTTCGTGCAAGTATGTATATTATGTAGAGTATTATTAACTATTTACTCATCATTGATCGATACTTCTAGGTTGGCGTGATATATTATGTTGTTCATTAGCTTATCGTTCAATGTTAGCTCCTGAATGTGGTCTCATACTTTCCGATGGTTCATATGTTAAACCACATACAGCTATTGATCAGTCATTACAGTTTTTTATTACTCGACTTTATCATGATGTTGTCACAATAATGAGAGAATTGCAGGTCGACAAAGTAGAAATAGCATGTCTAAAAGCAATATTCTTATTCGATCCAGGTGAGATTTAAAAATAAAAAAATAAATGAATAGTCATGCTAATGAGTTATATTTTCATAAAATTTCAACGTATTTTCGGTTTTAAGGCAGAATTTTAGGCATCCTACCATTGTTTTCAGAAACATATTCTAAGATAATGGATAAATTAGACTCTATAGTTTCTTATAAATCGTTTATTTTCTATTTCTATATGTTTAGATGCGAAAGATGTAAAAGATACTGTACGTATAAATGAATTACGTGAAAAAGTTTGTATGGCATTGGCATCTTATTGTAAAAAAGTTCATTCGGATGATGTGGCACGTTTTGCTAAATTATTATTACGTATGCCACCTATTCGTGGATGGTGTATCAAAGGAATTGAAAATTTATTTTTTGCGGGAGCTGTAAGATCAGCTGATAGTGAAATTATACAAATGATTCGCAATAGACAATTGTAAATAAAAATTCAACGTCTCATGAAACATAGCATTTTTTATATGTCTATCTCTCTTTTCTTGATGTCTTCGCCATTAACCGGTTGTTGTTGTGCTTTTATTACTGTTTTTTTTTTTGTCATCGAGTTATAGTTATTCTGTTGTTTTTTTCTTCATTTGCTCCCAAGGGTATTTGTTTGTAAAATTACACTCACTCTACTGTATTTTGTGCAAAAGAAAAACATCGTTCCTTCGGTTATATATCGTTATCGTTTGCGTACTTTTTTTTCTTAAAAATGTCAGAAAGTAGAAAGAAGACCGCCAAGTAAAACAGTCACGAATTCTCACAAGTCTAAACCTGCATGTCGTTGTTGAAAAGCGTCTCCATCGTACAAGAATCTGTTATATGTTATTACGATATCTTATTCTCCAAAGCGCTTTTTATCCAGATCAAAAGCTTTCCTTCTAATAGGATTCTCGAAGTGAAATAGTATCAAGTCGAATGGTCATGATTCGTAAATTAAGAACAGCTTTCATCGCTGATTCAGAACATTCTCATATACAAAACTATTGTAATTGGGTGATCGCTCTTTACAGGTATAGAGTAAACAGACATTGATAAAATGTCAGAAGAGAAATATTATAAATAGGCATATCTGCTGATGTAGACAAACGATTCAAAAATACGCTTACATTCTTTGTCCATTTTTCTCACAAACATTCTTTGGTTTTTAATAAAAAAAGGTTTTTTTCGAAAACTTGTATCTGGAATTTTTCTTTTGGAGTCTTTATTTCATTCTTCTACTAGTACTACGGTATCATATGTTAATCAATTAAGTAAAAACGTACTTTATGGTCTCATTGGGTCTTATTGACTGGCGCAGTACAAATAGTATTTCAGAGGATTTTACTGAACGAAATATAGTGTCATGTTCTCATCTATTGTTGTTGTGTTTGACGTGTACATTTTTCAATCTACTTCATTTTTTGAAACGAACATTATTACATATACTGAAAAAGCTGCTATTGTAGTTGTGATATGATTGTTTTCAGCGATATGTAATCATTTAGCTTAATGCTCAATACATATTATCACAATTTAATTAGAAAGTTTTTTTGTTTGTTATGTAACTCAGCAATTTTAGAGCGTATTTTTTTTTTTTTGTTTGTTACTTTTTAATCTCGCTCTCTCACGTCCATTATTTTCTTTCATTTAATATATAAACCGGTTAATTGAATTAATACTAGTCTGACTGCATGCTTAGTTTGATCAAGAATGCTAAATCGTATAGAAATTTATTACAAATGATATCCTTAGCCAACTCCTTATTTCCATATGTTTTTCCTAAACACTTTATGTAAAATTCATCTCGTAAATATAATGAATAATTTGCGTAGTTTAATTTTACCTTGTTAATCGTAATATGGTCTTCTTCTAACGCATGTACAATAGTTGAAATGATTATCGACTGGTTCTCTCTCTACAAACGAAATTAACATATGTAAGACGTTCTGTGATATTCACATAATCATTGTACTATTTTTTTGCTTTTTTGTTTTATTCTAATACATTCCTTCACTCATTAGAAAAAGAAAAAAAAAAATAACAAAGTAAAAACCACATATTAGAGACAAAATTTCGTTCTATGTAATTATTCTATTTACACTCTGTTCTTGCGCGAAAACCGGTAATACAAAGATACTCTTGTATTATTTTTTTCCTATTAAATATTGTTTTTTCGTTCTTTTTTCTTTTTTTTTTGTTTCGTAATATTTTACATACAAAGTCATCGAAACTTGTCACGGGGAGGTAGCCTATAGTTCTGAGACTGATACCAGTGATGGTAGCCTGTTTCGAACGAATTCTTTTTATATTCTTTAT